AAATATACACAAATATTTCTGTTTGAATTGCATCTACATTAACGTCATTTTAGATTATTAAAATTAAAAAATTATTTTATATGAAACATTTCTTATTTTGAGCAAGTAATCATCAGTTTTTCAAAATCCACGGTAATAGGGCAGAGCACGGAGATAGGTACACTTACCCCTATCAGTCAGATCTGGGGTGATGCCATGAAACGAGAGAGAAGATTGTTTTTGATGTTTCGTCCCGAGAGCACGCCAGGACTCTTCAGTAAGGCTGATGATGTGCTCCCAGCCTTAGACACCTATATATCAGTGGGGATGACCTACATCCATCTTAAACGCCGTTATATATTAACCAACGTGAAATCCGGGCACTTGCGAAAAGGTCAAGTTGCATGGTTAGACACCTAGCGGATGGTTAGAGAAGGACGGAGAGCCAAAGAATACATGTGTGTGAGAGGGTCCCCACAATGTGACTACTACAGCGCCGAAGTGCCTGTACAATGAAACAAAGTGGCCACACAGTAAAAAAGCTTTACTAGCGAATTGTAAAAATTTACTAAATGAAATAATGTAAAAGTACAATTTTTTTTGCAAAATTACAAAAATTTTCGTAGTTGTACAAAATTTTTGTAATTTCACTAGATTTTATGTTGGACAGAACTGCGACCCATATTAAATGTAGTAAATATACAAGTCAGATTGTAGTCCATTTTACAACTTCCATAGTAATTTTAATACTGCGTAATAGTAAGGGTGAGATTACATGGAGTCTGGCAGTCTGCAGACTGGCAGAATCGCGCTAAGTTTAAATTATGTTTAAATTATAACATCTCAGAATAATTTAGTAAAATAAAGGAAAAATTGTAATTATTGTCAGAAAAGAATAAAGGCTTAGTTACAATCAACTTCAATTACAATAAAACGTGTAAAATATTATTTTATAACTTTTTTTATAGATTTATGTTAACATCGCACAGTCGGTCAGTAGGGTCACTGATGTAACCTGGTATGTTTAACAATATGTAACTGTGACAAAACGTTTTTCGTCGCCTTTTTTTTCGTAAATATTAGTTAATACAGAAATGCAAATGTATTACGATAATTATTTCTTTGCTTACGTAACAGGTTTTAAATATTAACATTGAAACATATTTTTAAACTTAGCGCGATTCTGCCAGTCTGCAGACTGCCAGATTCCATGTAATCTCACCCTTACAGTCGTTACAGGCAGCTCGGAGAGTCGGAGGCGTCCAAGCACTCCGAGGTGGATAAATGAATAAATCTATTATTACTGCATTCTTGTCCTTCATTCATTTTAAAGACCTACTCAATTTGTTCCTTATCAGTCAGAGTTGGAGCTTTATAGATCGATACTGATCGATTGGACATTAGGACAGGACATATGTGTGTAGTGTAGTGAGAAGTGAGATACATTATATTATGTGCATTGCAGATGAATGTTTTGTGTTCTTATAATTCGTCGTGTTAAGTGTTAACCCACTGGTGGCGCCCCCCTAATTAACGCGCAAACGCGTTTAATGCTATTTTCTGAGTCCTTTTTCATAATATTGACGTTTAACTCGTGCGGTGTGCCAAACAGATCACTGGATTTTAAACTAAAAAAAATCAAACTTGTCTCTTCTAAGCTTTCCAATGTGACTCCACAATACATCAGGTGATTAGCGTTCATAATATTTTCAACCTCTTCGTACTTTCGCACCCCATTCCCTGCATATTTAAATAAATCACTAACATTTAAAAAATAATTACTCATGACAGCCTACGCTCCCGCGACAACTTTAAACTGATACCTGTCCACAGGTTCGGGTTCCTATAAGATCCATAAGGGGGGCGCCACCAGTGGGTTAACACGACGATGTTCTCAATTCTGTCCTTCAACCTTCAAGTCTTTCTGTCAGTTGTGAATGTTGTGATTTGTGAATAGTTATACTCTCTATTCATGAGTCAGTGCAAATAGTGCAAATATGTACGGTTGACGTGATTGTTGAGAGTGTGACATTCGTCGTGAAGAATATAAGTATAGGTGTAAACGATAAAAAATAAAACGGATGTACAGCCCAAAGTTTATTTATTGGAATTATCGCACACGCACACCCACGCCTAAGCGTAAAAGATATCGTTATTTCTCGAGTATAAGTATGTAATATGTATCGTTGAGTGGTTGGCTGGTTGGTGGTTATATTGTACAAGGAAAAAAATCGATAGTCCTCACCTTATACCCATTTAAGATCGACCCGCCATTGTAAATAAAAATGTTGACTGACAATTGAAACAGCATTTTATTGAGGATTTCGTTTTAATATTGGCGAATGAAAATGCCAGCCCCTCTCGAAAACGATTCGCTATCCAAAACCAAAAAACCTTCAGGTAAGCTGTGCAAAGAAAGTCACTCAAGAACTGTGAGTCAAGCTTTTGATATTGATTTTTATTTCTTGTGTTACAGATAGTGCCTTCAAGCAGCAACGTTTGCCAGCTTGGCAACCGATATTAACCGCTGGAACTGTCCTACCGACTCTTTTTATCATTGGAATTGCTTTTATACCAGTTGGAATTGGACTTTTGTACTTTTCTGATGAAGTTAAAGAACTTATCAAGGATTACACAGAATGCAAATCCAATAACACGAAGAGAGACGGATCCGCAAAATGTATGGATGTAATCCAAAATTCAACTCTGGATTGCTATTGTGACATACAGTTCACCCTCGACACCGATTTCAATGGCAAAATTTATATGTACTATGGTCTTTCAAATTTTTATCAAAACCACAGACGCTACGTCAAGTCCCGTGATGATAATCAGCTACTTGGTCAATTGAGTGATGTTGTCTCTACCGATTGTCAACCATTTGATTATGTAGAAAAAGGAAACCAAAAAGTACCAATAGCACCTTGTGGTGCGATAGCCAATTCATTGTTCAGCGATGAATTAACATTATTCTCGCACAAGCACAATCAGACCGTACCACTGCTGAAAACCGACATAGCATGGCCATCTGATAAAAACATCAAGTTTAAGAATCCACCCGGCAATTTGAGTCAAGCATTTAAAAATTTTGAAAAGCCGAAAAATTGGAAAAAACCTATTTCTGAATTAGAAAACGGTTTTCAAAATGAAGATTTGATAGTATGGATGAGAACAGCTGCTTTGCCTACTTTTAGGAAATTGTATAGAAGAATAGATCATTCTCAACAAGGATTCAAACAAGGCTTGGTCAATGGAAAATACACTCTTACTGTCAAATACTGTAGGAACTTCATTGATTTCAATTAAATTATCCTGTTATGAATTTTCAACAGTAAACATATTATTTCAGCTTATCAGGTTGCGGCTTTTCAAGGTACAAAAAAAATGATTTTAAGCACAACATCTTTATTAGGTGGAAAAAATCCTTTTCTTGGAATCGCATACATTGTAGTCGGATGCATATGTTTATTACTTGGAGTTGCATTGTTAATTATACACATCAAATGTTCAAAAAGGTTAGTTATTTCTTATTAATAAATTAATAACTTGATGTTAATATTTTTCTATGTAAGAAAAATTTTGAAAATCTTCTTTTAGTAGTTTTTTTATTTGTAATGTAAAACATGTATTTACTATTTGCGCGTATATTTTACATAACATGTGTTTTATACAGCAAACTTATCTAAAGAGGGACCAAAATGACTATACATATATAGGAAGTAGGACTGTCTAAATGTCCTCGTAAGTTAATAAAAGGAAAATAAACTTTTATACCCATCTGTTTTTTCAGACCGTTTTTATATCTATTTACGTCAAATTGCTTATGGTCTGTTTTATTATCATTTGAAAATAGAGACAACTGGCAGAACTCTAGAAGTGTATCATTTTGTTTTGAAATAATTATGTTTAATACTGTAATTAGTGGATGAAAAAAACTAAAATTTTTATAATGTATGGATGCTTAAGAGAAGTTTTTATATCATGAAATGTACATCATATTAAAGTTCCATAATGCCTGAATTTAATCTGTACTGATATTCATATTTTCTGAATATTTTCTTAAATTAAATTCTTTTTTATGACGTTTTTCCATGTAATTTATGGCGTGCATTTCATAAATATATGCTTAATAGAATGTAATTACTCATACAGCTATTATTCATGGTTTTATTTGTGACTCATGCATGATTTAGCATGATGGTATCGTTACTGTGTTAAATAATTCTTGTATAGAGAAGTCCAATTCTTTATAAAACAAAAATTATTGATTCAGTATTAATAGAATGATTGAAGTTTGTCATATACCAATCACAGAACAAACATATACTCTGATTCTTGCATGACATTCGCAAAACGAATAATTTAATCCTGGCTCATTGTTTTCAAAATACAACTAATGTAAGAAAATTATGACTTACCTACACTTGCTTTAGATTATTATGCTATGTATTCAAACTAGTGCATCTAATTTACTTGCCTGATTGAATAATATGTTTTCCCCTGATCAGTACGTTATTTTTACAATGTTTTTACTCTCTTTTATACAGTGTACAATAACAGATTTTTTTTTTTTTCAGTAACACCGATCTGATCAATGTGAATCCCACCACACTTTATCAATGAAGGGAGGATTTGTCGTAAACTAATTGACAAAAAAAACGTTTACCAAATAATTCTTTATCATATTAGTACACGATGGGGTAAATAAGTTAACGCCGAATTTACAAAAAGTTATGTTTTTTTTTTTTTTTTTTTTTTTTTTTTTTTTTTTTTTTTTTTTTTTTTTTTTTTNAAATAATTTTTCCTAATCGAGTATTGTTTCCCATTAAAAATCAAAACCATATAGTATTTAAAAAAAATATGTTTATTTCCCATAGGAACTCGTCACAAGGATTGTGCAGGGCTGTTGTCGATAAGTTACTTCTCTCATTCGTCAGCTTGGAAAGTGATGCTGACTTTCTAGACTGGGTGTGGTCTAAGAACATGGCACATGAAATGCATCGACATGATGAAAGAATCAGATCACATGATGCGTGAATATTCGTACTTTCCTTATCACTCTGACTTGAGGATAGTTCGGAAATCCTACTATTCGGCCAGCCACAAATCCTTATGTATACACCATAATCCATTGCGTAGGGTCTTTGTTGCAATCCCCGAGATCGCTCAATGCACGGATGATAAATACTGGAACTAACAAGAGAATGGATTAACAAGAGAATGGCCTCCATCATTGCTTACGCCTTATCTAATAGAGTAACACTGGTGAAGGCATTACGTCGATCTACAAACACTGATCCGGATCCTACACATTCAACAAATTCGAATCCGTCGAACCAAAGGAGCCAAGAGGGGATGCTTGGTTCTTGCACGCTAAGGCTACTGACGTGCTCCCTGCGTTAGACACAGAAGAGGTGTGGGCAGAGATTAGAAGGGAGATTGCCAGCGCCTATGGTAGAGAGTGTGTCGCTTTTTTTCCACTGTTTTGAGCGCCCCGTCGCGGCAAATCAGCCGAACTATACGCACGTTTCAGCAGCGGAGGAGAAGACCAAATTGTGCGTACGATAGGTACCTAGTAGNTATATTTACTTGATCCATTCAAGTTGCAGCTCTAGTCTTATAAAAATAAATAAAAACCCAAACACTTACACTTTTTTTTTTTGACGTCATTGCTTGAGTTAGGAATATTTTTTTCCTTGTAATGAACCGTGTAACGTACGATATGCAAGGCAAAAAAACATTAAAAATTTGAAATAGCTCTTATTTTACTGAACCATCGCATAATAAATATAAATGGACAATGTAAAACGTTATAATTTTACATTGATACTGATTTTACAAATAAGTTAATATACAAATTTTACACTCCAAAAATTAGTAATTATTTTATTTATTTGATTAGAGTAAAGTACATTAATGATTTATGTTGTGTTTTGTTCATTTACAATTTCATATGCATACTGTTTAGTGTTTTGCAAAATACTTTTTATCAGAGTCTTACAGTTAATGTACATAAATGTTTATTATGGTTAATGAACTTCTGTGAATGAAATTATTTATGTAAGATAAAGCTATAAATAAAAATATGTTTAAATAAAAAAATTAAAATCATTTCTATTGATTTGAAGATAAAAAGAAAAGGTTTCCCACTCAAATCAAGAATTTGGATATTCAATTATCTACACTGCATATATATTATTACGGATACGCGTTTCATTTTCTATACTTGCAGCTAAGGTCTTAATACTGCTTCTTTTTAATAATATTGACACTAACATGTACGTACTTTTACGTGTAGTTAATTGGTACTTAAAGGTAATTTAGTATTGCGTAATAAATTATTTACAAACCATTAGTAATAATAGTAATGATTGAAAATGAAGTCGATTGACATTTTCTTAATAGAGCCGATACGTATTAGGATTCCGAAAAATGCGTATTTAAAAGTGAGTTATATCAATTGTTAACGAATTCGGAATGTTACCTCTTTTTTCGATAATAAAAAAAAAAAAAAATCAATTTATCGGTACACGAATTCCTTTATCTCCATTTTCAAATTACTTTTTCAGAACCACCGTTTGTTTACTTACTGTTTGAAATGGTGTTTAATCTGTAAAAAAAAATTAGTTATAGCGGTGATGCGACTTACCCTTAGCGGTACGTCGATCGTTGCATGAATAAAAAATTAAAAGCAATTCTTTTTAAATAAATGAAATAAAACTTACTGACATTTCATACGTTCTGACAGAGAAAAAGTTTGACATTTTCACTTGTATTAACCATGAATGAAATCAAATCTTATTGGATGCGTACTACCTATTACACTAAGTTACAAGCATTGTTTTTGCGCAAACCTTAAAAAAAAAAAAAAAAAAAAAGCCAAAATTTCGATCGGATGATAAAAAAAGATATTTTCAACTGCACTGTAAATATACGAAAAACATATTTTAAGCGTCCATTTCGTGTAACTTATCGATGGACAAGTATAAAACTTAAAAAATTCGAACGAAAGGAAAAAAAAGGGGGCCCAAAAAAGAGCATCGAGACTCTCGATTCTCGAGACTGTATTCGAGAGAGCACCCGCCTCTCGCTGCGATATCAGCGAGCTTTATATCTATATCTATGAAGTATCGAGACTAGAGACAGCCCGCCCGCGAGTGTATCATCAGCTCAGGTCGTGTATAGAAAGAAGCGCGTCTGTAAGTGTACCTATAGGTACCTACTCGCCGGCCCAACCGGGTCATCCCTTCTTCGAAGGGTGTTTATCGTGTACTATCAATTGTACGATAATCGTTGCTCAAAGTATCTACTTATTTTTATTATTATCATTATTTTTACCTGTAAGTACCTATCCAAGTGACGTCGTTAGCCGTCCTCGCGAGAGATTCGCGCGCGCGCCCCTTTTGTTTTCAGTTCGCTGGTCTCCCCGTGTTTCAACCTATATATACGCACATTGCACAAAAAACATATCATACAGTGATAGTAACAGATAGCAGTTACCTGCGAAGTGCGCATATATATATATATATATACGAGTCCCGGCTCCGCGGCCTTCGTTGCGCGGCCTTGGTGATGTGGGAATTTCGATGGACTTTTGACTCAACATGATGACGAAGTCAATGAAGCCGAAAATTGTAGGTATCAGAGCGCCGAAGATAATTTATCAAAAAATTCATAAAAATTTTGAAGAAAAACAAGGAGAATCTAATGCCGAATGATTTATTTATGAGAGGCAAGATTACCAGCAGGATATATTATTCTTCTCTAAATGCAAATAGTGTGTAGTGTTTAAATGAACTTTCCCTAAAAGATTACAAATATAAGTACGTGGTGATGCTTGAAAGGCATAAAAGAGAAATCTGTGTAGGTACGTGGAGTGTAAAGTCCTAGTGGCCAGTACTACAACAGTATATATACATATATATATATATATATATATATAGTAATAGGCCCGCACTATATTACACTTTTGGATAGTTATTAGCGAAAAAGTTGCGTGTTGCGTGTGTATAACAATAATATTACTCAAAGGATTAGGTACTATACCGATGTACCTATAATACCCTACAATGAATAAGCAAATGTAGTGTCATTTAAATTGTAAATGGTAAGGGTCGGAGGCAGGCCATAATTTATCCACATCAGCTGAGCAATAAAAGCTGGACCCAAGCAGGCTGCGCAGATTCTTTTGTTTACGCCTTGTCACTTTTCTGCACTGGTCTCTCTTTTCCTTATAGGCATGCATATATGCATGGGGTATCGTATCGGCCTAATCGGCCTTTTCTCGCATTCGCATTTCATTTCGCATATGCACGGTGTGCGGTTGTTCTGTTCTCCGCGCTGCTCTTTGGAGAGAGAGTTGTTCCTCTCTCATGATTCTCATCTCTCTTTTTTCTTCCCGTGCACACACACACACACACATATATATGTTTCGTTTCCCCCTACTCTGTCCGGTTTGTCGTGAGTCGTGATATATTTATCCCTTTTAGTATACTATATATTATTATACGTGCGCTGATTTGCTACTACTGAAACTGAACTGAACTGCGATGCGCTTTGTGTATACACTTATATATACCTGTACCACTTATGTATTATATGTATATCCAACTGATGGGTTGTGAGTTGTGCAGCCAGTGAGCTGCTGTGTGTACTTTATCCTAGCGCGCGCCGCCATCGTGACGCCAGGTGACGCTCGGCAGCTGTGCTCTCTCGTGTAACCTGTGTATACACCAATCCTGACTACTACCCATCGTCACCCTCGAATTGTTGTTACATTGTTCCTACCCATCTAGGCATACTTAATTACCTCCCTTCTATATAAGCTGGGTGGGTGAGCAGGGCACGGTGTCAGCAGAAGCCCGGACTTACGACGCTCGGGTGTGTATACGGTGTAACGCGTATGTGGAGTGCGCGCTAGGTCTTATTTCCTCCGGACTCCAGAACTCAAGACTGTGTGTACCTATACCTACAACAATTCGTTCGTTGTGTATGGGGTGTGTGTGTGCGTGTGTGCGCGCCTGAAGCTCAGCAAAAAAAAAGTGTGTCTGGACCGCCGCTGCTGCAGCCTATACGCAGCTTCTGCTCCGTTCTGTTTTGCTGGGGGGATAAACACAAAGTGCGAGGTGCAAGAGGCTCGAATGCAATTCGAACGGTGGCTTGTCCCGTATAGCCACGTATAACCTCAACTCGCGTCCAGGATTTTGCCATCCCAACTGGTGAATCGCCGCGGTAGGTACCCCCTCCCCCCTCCCCCGCGCGCTCCTAAGCTGGCTCGCTTCGTGGGTCGGGTGACCTGGAATTTCGAGAGCAAAGTACACCTATATGATAGCCCATAAGCTAGGCCGGTTTTGTTATTTGGCGTCTGCTTCTCCTATAGTCATCTTTCCATTTAAATTTTTCACGCAAATTGTAAGTACGCTTTACATTTGAGTTGTATTAAATCTTGTGTGTGTGTGTGTGTTTTTTTTTTCATTTCAGAAGAGAAACGGCGACAGGACGTTTTGCGAGCGACCACAGCAACAGCATCACCACCTGTACTCGCGGCTGGAATGAGATGTTGATATTTTATGCGATTCTCTCGATTGCTCCAAAAATGCCAGCCAACTATTTTTGTCTTTTAGACTTGGGATAGCTGTCCTTGAAATGACGATTTCCTCAGTTATGCTGTGACCAGTGCTTGACAGATGGAGTGTTTTAGTTACTTGTGTGTAAGAAGGCTATTAGTGTGTTGATAGTGTGTTATCAAATAGTGCGTGTTATCATCAATGGGTGAAATTTTTCAAAAGACGCACTTTAAAGACAGAATAGAATTAAAACACTATTTCATGGTTTATCTTTTTTTCAATGGTTAATGCATTTTGTGAAAAAAATAAATATTGCTGCAAGCTTATTTTTGCGTAACGTTCTAGTGTAGTAAAACTGCAAGCCTAAGTGAGGGAATGCTTGCTAGAATTCATTTATCAGTGAAAAAATCTCAAGAAACTACATGCATGTCAGGCACAGGCAGTCTTGGACGTAAACGCGTTGAGTGGCGTCGCAACGCCAATGTGGAAATAAACTACTTGCTGACACTTGTTCAGGTCAGCACATACAAATGTTATTTTCTCTTAAAATTGAAAAATATGCGTCACGATAGTACTTTAAAGGACAGGTTGTACAATTTTAGAAACAATGCATGGATGATTAAATTTTTTTTACTCCACAGATAGTAGAAGGGTAAAGAGTATAATAAAGGAACTATAAGGTAGCTCAACGCTACCCAGAGTTTCGAGGTGCTGCGTGGGCATGCAGCAGCCTCAGTCACGCCCTCTCCTTGGGGACTCTGTATCCTCTACAACATCCCCAAACACGCGTCGTAATAATAATCCTGTTGCAGTCCTCACCCAACAACAAGTAAGTCAATTGCAAATTTCTATTAAGCAACATATGACTGTCAATGATAAGTATTTTACAGTGTTCTCGTATTTTTCAGTTACAACAGCTACAACAATTTCATTCTCAAAATTCTGGTTCTCAGGTTACTTTTACACTTCAGCAACCATCCGGTGGAGTGAGTCTTGAATTTATTTACACCATTTGTTTGTCCGCATCGTTATGTTTTTGTTATACTTTTGATCGTTTTTGTATTCACAGAATCAAGATCAGACAAATGGATCTTCAGCTGGAAATCACATACTCTATGTTAATCAGCTGAATCAGTTGAATCAAGGACCTTTAAATACATCCGGGACAGGCATGGGCCTCCAATCAGCCGGCCCTACTTTAGGGGTCGGCCTGAATATGGGATTGCCTTTTTCACTCTTAAATTCAGCTGGTCTTACGTCGTCCAATGCCATAACAGCATCAAACCCATTGCTCAACCTCAGCATTTCTAACATCAACTCAGGCTTATTAAATTCCAGTATTAATCAGTTAAACGCCTTGGGTGCGACAAATTTAAATTCTAGTATGTCTTCGGACGGTATGAGCAATGGGTTGCCAAATCTCCAACAAGATTTAACAGGCATGAACAGATTAAGTGCTTTAAACTCAGCTAACATTGGCTCTGGACTTCCCAATATTGGTAGTGCAGGACTCGCAAGTGTTAATCCAACTCTAACGAGCTTAAATCAAAATCTCGCCTCAATTGGTGCAAATCTGAATGCAACAAACTCTGGTGCATCTACTTTGAATAATCTCAGTCCTAATATCAATTTATCCGCTAGTAACATGAATTCAACTCTCAATCAGCAAGGACTGAACAGGCCTTTAAATACCATAACAAGTTTTAATTCAACAAGCAGTAGTGCTCACTTTCCGTTTCAGACTATTCAAAGCATACAGAGCATTGCTCCGCACATAGTTGGCTCAAGCATAGCAAATGTTGTGAGTTCTGCCATATCTCAGAACCAAAGTAATAATGTTACCTCGATTGCGCATTCAACAAATGCGGGATCATCGATTGTTAGTAGCACTTTTACCAGTACACATAGCGGACCGATTCTTGCCACAGCAACCAATGCATCCCATGGAGCTAACAATAATCAACAAATTCAATTTGGAATAATGAATTCGAATGTACAAAACGTTATAACTTCACAAGTGGGTACAAATGACTCCGCATCAAATTCTTCCATCGGCGTTGGATTTCAGCGTCAGTTTACGAATCAAAATTTAAATCAGTCACCGGGGGTTAATCAAGTTACGAATTCCATTATTCCCAACATAAAAACAGTGCAAGGTATTCAAAGTCAGTCAAGTAGCGCGCCGGGCAGTCCATTTTCGATACCAATGAAGAGTCCAGCATCAAACATTGCTCATCCAACACCCAGTCCAAGTCCAAATAGGATATTGCTCAGGAGTCCAGCTCCAAATTCTGTGTCGAGAAACAGTCCCAGTCCACAATCCATTCCAACTTCTAACGCGAATTTTAGTGTACAGTTACAAAGCCCCATGCAGAGTCCAATTGGTGTTAATCAGATACAGAGTCCGGTACCCAGTCCCTATCCCCCTTCGAAAAGTCCCCACATAAACTCTGGAGCATCTTTAGCTAATAAAAGTCCTGCTCCAGGAGGCAGCCCAGGCCCTCCAGTTGTAAGCTATTATTTCTTAATTGATGAACTTTACTTTTTCTCCACAGATACCATTTTCATTGAATTAACAAATGCAAATATTCCAGGTGAGGCCAAACACTCCAATTTTACAACAAGGTATGCAAGTTTTACAAATAATTGGTACCCCTCAAGGGTATCAACAAACACCTCAGCTCGTCACGAGAAGCATATTTGGTAATCAGCAAATCCAAATAGCCACAACCAAGCCCAATAAACAGCCTCCCCAGATACTACCGAAACCACCTTTACAACAGGCGAGTGTTACCCAGCCAAAACAACGTGCTGCCACTACTATTACTAATCAAGTAAATAATTAGTTGTACCAACATGTTTTCGTAAGAGTTGTATTAATATGGTCGTAATATTTCTTCAATCTCATTAGGTAACACAACAGTCACAGCCTCAGATTGTTTTAGCAGGGCCACAGCAAAATCAGCCAACAGCTACCATGATACCTACAGCTCAGGGTCTTTTGCTTAATCAGGTTATTAACTCACCGAGTTTTAAATTCAATATGTATAAAATTTATATTTTGCATGATACTTTTCTTTATGCTTGCAAGGTTATTTAAAACACAGTCATTACCCGAAATCAATGCATAAATCATTATTTCAATATCATTTTTTTTTTTTTTTTTTTTTTTTTTTTTTTTTTATAGATTTGTACGCATACAAATTATCTCTTGGCAATAACTTGATTATCATTTCAGTCGTTGATCGTTTAATATACACACATATACGCGCGCGCGCGCGAAATAATAAACACAATTGCATGTGTTNCTATACGTGTCTTTAGGTAGCAAAATAATCAGCTCGAATCTTTTCGTCGAGCTATGTAATAATATAATTTTGTAAAAAAAAAAAAAAAAAAAAAAAACAGAACAACATCCAGAACATTGTAGTGCAGGCTTTATGCTTGCAAGGGTATTTAAAACACAGTCATTACCCGAAATCAATGCATAAATCATTATTTCAATATCATTTTTTTTTTTTTTTTTTTTTTTTTTTTTTTTTTTTTTTTTCACGACATAAAAGCTATACAATTCAATTGCATAATTTTTCTATATAAATGATAAAAATAACAGTTCTTACAATTAGCAATTTCATCGCTTGTTTCATAAAATAATGTAATATTCACCAACATGGGGCATCGTAATACTTTTGTCTTTCTCTTAACCTTGGTATACAGGTATTACCATCCACTGGACCAGTTATTGTACAGCAGCAGCCTGGTGGTGTTCAGCTGATCCTTAGGGCTCCAACGAATGCTCAACAACAAACTCATACCGCACAGGTGACGGTTTCATTTGCATTTCACTTGCACATTCACAATCATTATCTAACATACATCAGTTGTGAATGTCTTCTATGTACGATTCTGTCATGCTTTTTATGTGCTTTTTTGCTAAAATGATTAGCTTAAAAAAAAAAAATTTATAAAAAAANACGGCGGTTGCGACTGCCAATCAACAATGTATATATATTTTTTTTTTTTCTAATTCTCTAGATTCTATATTATGATGTTAGATCTAGATTATGATGTTAGTGTTTTATGGTTACATTTTTTAAAACTTTTAAATTCATTTTATGTTGTAGTTAACACAGCAACAGCTAGTCAGGGTAGTCACAGCTCAAGGTATGCAATTGCAAGGTCTGGCTCCAACCTTTTTTGCTGTGCCTAATGGTTTTTCTTCACCGGCACCCCCCGTTATCAGGCATACGTCTAGTCCAGCACCTGGTCAGTTTAAATTTGATATCATTACTAAGTTTCAAGTTAACTAAATAAGCACTATGTTGACAAACAGCAAATCCCAGTAACAATGGTTCGATAGTAATTCAAAATCCTATGGTTCAAAATTCTCAACCTCAAATTGCCCAGCAACACCCAACGATCAACACAACTGGAAATGTACAAAATGCACAAACAATTATTGATCAGAGTTTGCTGCCTCCGCCAAAGAAGAAAGCCAAGAAGAAAAAGAAAACGAAAAAAAAAGATGAGGAGCCACCGAAGATGGATCTTGCTAGTATCATGAAGATATCGGGCATCGGTGACGACGATGATATTTTCGATAGTGATATCACGGAGTCTGAAGCGCCTGTCTCGCAGCCTGCCATTCAAGCAGAACTAGCTCCTACACAGGGTTCTCCTATCGTAACCATACCAAATACCTCTGTTCAACAAAACGTGATTCAAGTACCCGTTGCACCGACCGTAGTCCAGCCTCCTAGTTCATCCGCAGATAGCCTTACCTCGAGCAATTTAGTCTCGCAAGTCCAGTCGTCCACCGATCAAAATCCGATTTCCGGTCCAATCTCAGGACAATTAAGGCTATCTGTTGGCGAAGATGGACGAATAGTGTTGCATCACACGCCAGATCCCAATCAGCCCCAGATCGATCAGGCTACCGCACAAGCTTTAATCAAGTCCTTGACACAAGGTGGTGGACAAAACTCGCAAATTATTTCTCAATTGCTGCAAGCACAGATTCAACAGTCTACTCAAAATATGACCAACAATAACAGGCAGAAATTTGTTAAATCGCCGGTCTCCAAAACCATATCCACGGGACTGCCTTTAGCGAGTCCTTCGAGTTCCAACTCGATCATGAGTCCACAGCAAAGTCAAGTCAGTTCCAATTTGAGTAATCAGTCGAATTTCAGTGCGCCCAGTGTGTCTCCAAATCCACAACAAACTATGCTAACGACAACTGTTCAAGCATCCAACGTGCAACCAATAGTCAACGCGTCCTCGCAAAATCTTGTTCAACCTGTAAAAAATGTTACGAAAAAAGCCTTTGAAGCTATCAAGAAACAAACAATTGTCGATGTAAAGTCTACCACCTGTCAGAAAACTAACGTACAAAATCCCCGACCCATCACAGTTAATCAGATTGCAGCTGTTGCTCCGCAACAGGTCACTAACAATCAGCAAATAAAATGTAATCAGCCAAAAGTTAGCCGTAATACTTCTCTGAATCAGCAACAAAATTCAAATAAGCAAAAGCCTGTGCAGATATGTGCACCTGTTCAGCGTAATACTCAGGTAGTAAAAAATAATCAGATTCCACTGCAGCAGATAAATGCTCAAGACGAAGGCCCGTTTGTTCAAAATGCGACTATTTTTCAGCAAAATTTGGCTCAACAGGTATCTCAAACCGCTCAAGTTCAGAACCTGCAAAATATCTTTGAACAAAATCTACAACAAAACGTCGGTATCGCGTTACAACGGACATCTGTGGATGGCATTAAAATCGAGTCGCTTAACGCTGTTCAACAAAGTAACCTGCAACAAGCGCAACAACCGAATGTCAGTTTATTGCAGCAAAACATTAATACTACTAATATTCAGCCAACAGAGCAAAACTTTCAGTTCCACAACAGTGATCTCACTCACCAACAAAAGGTACAAGCAAATGCCAGTCATCCTGCGCACCAGAAAGTACAGAACGTTAATGCGAGTTCGATGAACAATCAGCAGCTCCAGAATCTGCGAGCGAGCATACTGATCTCAAATCCTGCCCGACAGCAGGAACAGCCAAAGGTGGAAACACAAAATGTGTGTAATGTGAATTCTCAAGCAGCTACGATATTGAACTCGCTCAAGATAACTCCCGAGATACTGAACAATTTGAGCAATTTAAATCCCAACGATCAAATCCTTATTGCTACTAACAATGGACAAATGCAATTGATCAGTCAGCAGTACCTACAACACTTGCTGCTAACTGGCCAGCTAAACGTCCAGTCTCAAACCCAACCACAGTCGCAAGTTCAAAATTCAGTACCAGCTCAGGCACAGGTTCAGCAAAACCAGACGCAAAAGATAGTGATTGGTGATCCAGATTCAAACAATCCGAATTTGCAGGAGGTTCAAATAAATACACCAACGAGTCAGATCATAGTAAACAGTTCTGGTGGAGCACCCACGATACAGAACAACATCCAGAACATTGTAGTGCAGGCTGCGCCAAACCAGCTGCCCCAGCAAATTCAGATTCAAAACTCTGGTTTTCCGAGACAGTTCATCGACAATCTGAACCAGCAGCAGATCCGCAATCTCGGTAATAGTGCTCCGACGCTCGTGAATTCGGACTTGAACTCGAACGCTGCCAACGCTGCTGCGACGGCGGTTGCGACTGCCAATCAACAATGTAGTGCGGCAAAGAAGCCAAAAGTGGTAAAGCGGACTAAAGTGTTGACAGTGCCGACTCAGCAGCAGCAAGAACAAGTTAAAGTTGCAGGTGTTTCGCGGCCAGTTGTAACGACAAGTTTGATCGCAACTACCACGATGACGACGACGACGACGACGACAAGCACTTTACAACCCCAACAACAACAGGTCGTAAAACAAGGCTTGTTGAAAAGTAAAACGGTCAACCTGCTCACACGGGTGATTGATGGGAATAAGAACGAATCGTCGCATCCTGTCGCCAATGGTCCTGTTACTTCTCTATCCTCAAGTTGCCAAGTGCCTATTTTGTCAACAGGACAAGTCGTTCAGAGGGTACAAACGATACAGCTTGATGCTCAAAAGCAACAATTACTTGCAAGTAATCAGGCTCAAATCAAAGTTATTATGGCACGAAAGAACAAATCGCAAGCCGACGAAGCTACTTTGCAAAAATTGTACCAGGAGCAGACCAGGATTCTAGCTAGTGGTAAACTTATAAGCAGTACTCAGCATCCAATAACCTCAGTAAGTTTGAATAACGATCATTGGTATTGCTCTTGTAGTTTTGAATTATTTTATTTAAAAATTTTTTTTATTTCTCAGGAACCAGAATCTGCAATAAGTGTCAATGTTGTTTCTTCAACGACATTAACTTCGGGCACGACCGCGCAAACGACGTGCAAAAGTCAAACTTCGACAGTTCAAACTCAGACTCCAGCCCCAGCTCCCACTTCATCCGTAGCAATGAAATCACAAAACATTAATCTGTCCACGTCATCTTCAAGCAATATATTTGTACCAAGCATTGCAGTGAGTGACCAAAATTGTTATATTTTTATGATTGATTTACAATAGCTTTGACTGTGATTAGATTTAATGATTTTGAAACTAATTTCTTTGACAGCAGGTTCAGAGGATACAGAGTCCATCATTGTCGGTTCCCATCAAGTCTCAACAACAACACCAGCAGCATCAAAAGCAGCAACAGCAAGCACAGCAGCCATCGCAACAGCCACAACAAGTTCCAATCCAGGCCTCAAGTCAGTCTCAGGTTCAAATTAAAGTCGAGGGTGGCCAGGTGCTTGTTCCGTCCAGCTCGAGCTTGCAGAACTACGACAGTGCCAGAACGATGCTTGAGCCCCAGCAATCGGTACAAACCAAACTGACAGATATCAAGCCGTGTATAGAGGCAACGACGAGAAGTCCCAGTATTAAGCAAGAGCTGGTCTCTTCCGCTCAGCTGCAAGTTCAATGTACGCCACCTGCGGGTCAGGCGACGTCTCCGCGAACGACTGGCGGCAAAACTCTGCCAGCTCTTCAGAGCAAACTCTCGAGTCCTGAAAATCAGCCAACCAGTCCAAGACATGGCGTTAAAAGGCCTTCGAGTACCAGTCCTGTTTGTCGCCAATTTAACAAGGCTGAGCCGTAAGCATTTTTCTTCACAATATTCATGCGTGATACCATTCACGTTTAATAATTTTTTACATTCAGTAAATTGAATTTTTTTTTTAATTTTAGTTTTGAGCAACAATTGAAAATGGATCAAAATGGTGCAACGAATCCCGATGTTAATATGCCCTTCCAAAGCAAACGCGATGCCTGCAAACGACTTGTCAGGTATCACTGCTTCAATGATCAGGTGCTTAGCAAAAAGGATTTAGAAAAAGCTGACGAAATCTTTGAGGAGACAGCTAAACATTTGCTAGGCAAATTTAATTCTATGGTTAATAAATACACGTACCTTCTCATAATGGATAGTATGGTAAGCGCGGTGAAGCAAGCATTATGGTACAAACACATTTAGATTGATCAATCAAATAACAAGTAAATTTTATTTATTACAGCGTGAAACGAGAACGTCCGAGCTTATGATGATTGACCGTATGATAGTGAATGAAGAGCAGGTGACGTTAAATAGGTTAAAGGAACAAGATGCGAAGCTAGCAGCTGGTGAGTAAAAAATTTTATAAAAAATCTCCTGAAAAAAATTAAAATTTTTTAAATAAATTATAAATCATTGATGATTGGAAATTCACAGAAGAATTGAGGCTAAAGCCTAAAATAGAGCCAACAGACATGGAAGGGGATGAAAGATTGTTGGTGCCGAAAGTCGAGTCAGGCATCACGGATCCTTCGGCGGCGGCAGCAGCCTCAGTCAAGTTGGAGGTAGAGATGGAAGTAAAGTCAGCCGACTACGACGAATGGCTCGAAATTCAGAAGGAACTGGGGGTTTATACACCGTCGGAACTAGCACTCGGTGGCAAGAGCCGGTCCAAGTCCAGCCGGGCGCGCGCCAACGGTGAGACGCGCGACACCAGCGCCTTGGAGCTTGAACGTGACTTGCTCGACGATTCGGAGAGCCTCGATGGGCTGGCTCTGTATGCACAGGCTACGTGCTCGACGAGAGCTCAATCCAACGAGCACAGTGCCAATCCCGAGGAGCACGACGACATAACCGCTCAAGTACAGTCTGCTATCGATAGCATTCTTAATTTGAAGAAACGACCGGCACCAGGCTCGTCGGGTGGTCAATCTTCCGGTAGCGAATCGAACGACAAACTCCTGGATCAGGCAGTGCGCAGCATCCTCGGCTCGTGACCCTCCTCTAGTAAGGTTTATTAAGCCTGTCTTATTTTCTAATTTCTTTTTGGTCTGCGTTTGCAGCTCGGACTTTATCTGCAATTGCTAATTAAGCAACGTCTTTGTATGTACATAATTGTGCGGCTATACGAATTGCCGGAATTCATAAGACGTTCTACAATGGCCTTTGTTTAGGCAGCTATACGTGTCTTTAGGTAGCAAAATAATCAGCTCGAATCTTTTCGTCGAGCTATGTAATAATATAATTTTGTAAAAAAAAAAAAAAAAAAAAAAAAGAAAAGAAAAGAAAAAAAAAGAAAGGAAGAAAAGAAACTATTAGAAAACGATTCACTCCATATTTTAAGCCACATCACATTAGTAAATACTTGATAAAAGTAAAAAAAAAGCGTCTACGAGATACACAAAATACTTAAGGAATTTATGAAAGGGTTGGTGATTTGTAAATATTTGTTTTTAACGTGTATTATTACAATATTAGATTATCAATAATATACTTTATCATTATTGTTATCGAGATATGTTCTCAGAGAGGAAATTGTAAACTGCTGTAATTGTAAATTTTCTTCATTGTCGTTAAAATTGCGAATCGTAGCATAAAATAGGAAAATATTCACGGAAACGTTCTCTTTAAAGGAACTGGAGAATAATGCACGTAAAACTAGTCCAAATTCATTAAACTTTTCGGATGTTTTATGCAAAAACTATGATATTTTACTGAGATTTTTATACGATTTAACGTTTCTATCATTTTCTTATATCAAATTCACTGAACTATACACATTTTTCAAAAGTGTAAAAAAAGAAAAAAACTAAATTATCATACGTGGGAACAATAAAGCACCCCGTTAAATATTATATGATCAGAATTTAATCTTCAAGTGGACACTAGATTTTCTAGAAATATAAAGCATATATATATATATGTCTATCAATGGTGTACGAAAATCAAAATTTAAAAAACAGCACAATTTTAAAGTTTTTACGTGGTTTTAGGCCGTTTTTTTTTAGGTAATGAAATATTTGCTTTAGTAGAGTTCTAAGTGACGTTTCTCCAGGGCGTAATACGCGTGCGGAGAAAGGATACTCGATGCGTAAAATTTAGGGATAATTTTCTTGATAATGATTTCTTTAGCAAATCTATGAGAATTTATTTATTTTAATTTTAAGCGATAAATTATTGTGTCGCTCCAAGTGCATTAATGGAATTTTGGAGATATACATATATACATACATCCACGCATAGCGATAATTTAATAGGCAATTGATTTTTGTGTGATTATTTTTTTCTGTTTGTTGGATTAAGTGCGTTTTAAACGATTGAACGTCCTTTTTCCGAATGCATACAGGCAAAGAGACAAAAGATGGCAACAATATTAAGTGGCCCTCTTGATGTACACAGTGTACAAATATTTTACTTCTGCGAAATAAAATTAAAAAAAAAAAAACTTATCCAAGACTGACGTATATAATGATAATGAATTAAAAATACTTGATGTAATTAATGAGTCGAGTAGCGTTCATTTGTACATAATATTTAATTAATAAAACTCTCGACGGCGGTGTGACTTATTATTTTTTAAATGCGGCAGGCTTCTATTTTAAGAAAAGTTCCTTCCTCAACCGATTACTTCTCCCTTTTTTCACCTGATTTTTATCATCATTTCATCATGTATTTTTTTTTTTTTTTTTTTATAGATTTGTACGCATACAAATTATCTCTTGGCAATAACTTGATTATCATTTCAGTCGTTGATCGTTTAATATACACACATATACGCGCGCGCGCGCGAAATAATAAACACAATTGCATGTGTTTTTTTTACCTCTCGATGATATTTGTACGCGCGTCAATCGACGATTTGTAGAAAAGAAGCATAATCTAACGGCATAATTAAAAAAGTGTTTAGCAAAAGCCATTACGTTCCTATAAGATAAAAAAAGAAATGGAAAACTGTAGATATACACTATGATTCCAGGGTTTTAGCTGTGGATGTATAAAAGTAACAATTTTTCGCCAAACATTATGAATTTTTGTCTTTGTTTCATGTGCTCAGTGCAAAATTTGAAAAAATACAAATAAATCATTGTAAGATTTTTAACGAGTATTTTATCTTTACGAACTACACTCTCTGAGCATGTGGTGAGTGTGATTTTTTTATCCTCGTCGACTTAGCTTCAAATAAAAAGTAAAGAAACAAAAAAATATAAAGTTGATGAAATTCGCCAAGAGGAAAATAAAGACGTTTAAACATCGAAATGTAATTTTATCAAATAAAGTTTTTTTAAAAGATGAAATTTACCCGAACCTAGCTGCTTATATATCCCTTACACCTTTGTATTGTTATGATAGTAAAAAAAAATCGCTCTTTTTCATAAGCTACTTGAAACATTTTAAAGTTTTTAACCGTAGTTATGTTTTAAAATTGGTCAATAGTTGACATTTCTCCGAACAAAACATACGAATTTTCGATGCATCATCGCGATAGCTATGAAAAAAAGCAAAACCAAGTACTTTACAGGCAAATTTATAGAATGGACAAAACATAAAGTACAAATTTTATCATGATCGAATTACTTGAGTTTTATAATGGTCAAAAGAAAAATAAGTAACGTTGTAGCATTGAAATTTCATTTTTGCCGAAGTTTCGCCCAGAAAAGCATAATATTGTTTCCTTTTCCTTTCGTGAACCTATAAATATAAACATTATTGCGAGCTCTCAGAAATTGTGAAAAAAAAATCGCATATATATAACATTGAGCAAACAATAATAAAACAAATCTCGTCTTTGCAACAATTTACTTTTTCAGTTACCTTCGTTGTAACTATGTCAGTAATGACTTGGGCAATCATCTTAAGCGCTAAAATTTCTACGGTATCAAGATTTGCGCAGTCCCTGGAAAAAACTGCTAAATTACCAGATAGCATAATTTTTAACTGTTCTTTGCTTCTACACTAAATTTGTTCGATTAAAGTACTCGGATCGATCGCAGAATCATCGAGGTTTAAATCTATGGTTGCGGTCCTGGCCATAAATTAATATAATATATATTGTACACCTTAATGACTGTGGGATCGCTTGGAGTGCTTAATTGTTTGTACTTTATTCCGATTATCCTGAGCAGTAAGATACTCATTGCTATGAAAAATTTGTAGAGCAAAAAAATAAACTAATTTTTAAATGGCAATCGAAATTGAAATAAATGATTAATATTTATCATCATTATAAAATTTTTACAGATACTCTTTCGATGATGTACCTGTTTGACATTTATACGTTCATAGGAATTCTGTAGCCGCTCATATTTTTCCGCTTATTTGGCCACTTATCCCTAAATCCCTGTCCTTTTAAGTTCGAGAAAGGTAGAGATCTACCTTGCAATTTGTTTCATACCATCAGACGATCCACTAGACTACTACTTACTACATAGTCATAGTGTGCAGTTTCTTATTTTTTTTTTTTCTATCGAACTTTTAGCGGGTCACAAAAATTTTCTCCAATGAATACTTTATACATGGGGCCCCCATAAATTATGATTTAAAAAAATTAAAAATTTAATGATCCGTTGTTATACACTCCTTTCTATTATTTTTTTTAGGCCGATACCGGAAAACGGTTTATTCAATATTTTGATTTTAGCATCAAACTGTTTGTGATAATATTTATCTCGCCATTTACCTAGTTTCTACAGGCTTTTTTGACCTTACTACTGTTCTCTCTTTTCTCCCTTGGAACGTTGTCTTTTTCTTGCGATCTTTTTTTCTCATTTCTCACAATTCTCACGTCTCACGACTACTCGCGCCTCATTTACCACCTGCTTCTCTCTCATAAATTTTTTACACGTGTTACGTTTCTTCCTCTTCGATTGATTAGTTTCATGTTTCTCTTTTTTCTCTTATGGTATTTTTAATTTACCTATGCATCTCATCAATCAGCGTGTGTGTAATTATATTTCGTTTTCAGTAGTCTACATATCATACCGTACGACTGACTATCTTGATCATGAGAGCTGACTTATTGTCTAAAGAAATTTCTATCCCAATTGTATGGAGGAGGTACAGTATTTGCTTGTTTGTTAATGCCATTGTTGACTCTAAGAAACGTACTCACTTTACATTATTTTCAAACAAAAATTGATGGATTTTTTTTCTTTCCATTTGACAACTTGTTCTTGTTTTAAATAAAAAAACAAAAGGGGATAAGTAATTATTTAAGTAGAGAGTGATGAATTTTCAAGGGTCATAAGTAAAGTACAAATATTTGAACAGTGGTGCAACCAGATCGTTTATTTATAGTGATTGTTCTATTTACATCGTGACAATAAATTGACATTGTCGAAATAACGGAGTTGAAAGCGTACTTGATTTTTAACAGTACGATTTATAATCATGTACTAGCAATGAACTTGCATCGCAGCATTAATTAAAAATTGCCTTCCCATAATTGGCATAAATTAAGCAACAAGAGAGTACGAAACATTAAATAAATACTGTAATACATTTAAGAATGGGCAGTTTTTAACAATTCAATTTGTTACTGGGAAGGCAACTGAGTTGGTCTAATTATTATCATTACTCTAGCATTCTTTAGTCAGATGATCCATCATCTTTATTTTTTGAAAACGTGATACTTAAGCTAAACCGTACTTTTTCTTGAGACTTTCTGGCATCTCTGGTGGAGGAGGACGCGGCATGCGAAGCCATACCTTAACAGCATCGTAAATGAACCATTGAGCGGCAGTGAGAGTACCAATCATGACAATCCTAGGTGCAAGACCCTTCCAGACTCCACCAAAACCTAACTTTTTCAATACATCCACGGCGCTGGCTCCCTTTTCTTGATTTAGCTTGGACACCACCTTAATTTGTGAGACACATGTTTAATGAGTATTTCAGTAAAGACATTGTCAAAGTAGTCGACTGTGAGAAATCTTACCGAGTCAGCAGGGTGTGATACAATAGCGCAGAAAACTCCAGCAATGTAACCAGCAGCAAACGTAACAAGCAATTGCTCTCCTTTGGTACATTGAGCACGTGGCTTGGGTACAACGTATTTGTACAGTAGTTCGACGGTTCGCTCAAAGCAAGCGAATTTCATCATTGTGTATGGAATTTGGCGAAGCCATAAAGGTACCAGTCCCTTATAAAATCCGCTCATACCTTCTTCAGCTGCGATTTTAGGGAAAGCCTCTCTCAAAGTGTTGGCAAAACCAGGTGTTGTTTGGATTTTAACCTAAAAAAAGAAAATTTATTACAAATAAGTTTAAAAACTTTGAGTAAGATTTTTTTTTAGCAAGATAAAAGTACCTTAGCTGCTTCAAACGGAGCCAAACCAATATCAGCAAAGAATTCTGCAGATGCAGAAGAAACCAAGTACAAACTTGTTCTGTACTCATAAGAAATCTCTTCTCCGACCAAGTTTGAATATTGTACCTTAAAGACTTCATAGAGTCCAAACTTGAACATTCCTTGGACTGAGTATCCAAAAAATGTAGGGGCCCAGCCCCTGACCAAACCTCTTGTACCATCTTCAGCATGTGTAACCTGGGTGATAAAAAAAAATTATAACTTTCAGTGTCAATACATTTTTTTTTTACCACAATTGAAAATAATTGTAATTATTTACCTTGAATCCGTTTACAACAGACTTGTACTTTTCTGGATTCACCTGAATACGGCATTTAACCAAATCCAAGGGGGTGACCATTGTGTGGGTGAGGCCACAGGACAAGATACCACCAAGACCACATAGCATGAAATAGTGGTTTGAACCAAATTCACAGCTGTCTATAAAGTGAGTCGATTGTTTGTTAGCAACGGTATAATCGGGTGATAAATTGATAAATTAAAAGTCAATGAGAATCAAGTGAAATAATGAAAATAAAAAAAAAAAATTACATTACAGTTACATTAACAAGAGAAAAATCAAGTGTCAATAAAGTTGTGACTTGGGGAAGACTCAACGTTATTGTCAAGAGCGCAAAAAGACAAGGGGAGCAAACTAAAACCAAGCAAAGAGTACCTATAGAGAATATTCGAGCGAGTGAGTAGCTCACTTTGTTTTATTATTTTGTCCGTGATTACCAACTGTTTGTTGCAGCTGTTTAAAAAAAAAAAAAAAAAAAAGAATGAAACTATCGGCATGCAATTGAAATGCGGACATCAGAATCAGCTGCAGTAAGAAATTTGCAGAACGTCATGGCTCGTCCTCGGACATCTGGCACAAGTTCAAGATCGCCTCGACGTCAAATGACCTCTCACAGATCGGTACCGACCAATCGGTATCTATTTTATTTTTACCCACACGACACTTAGCTTCAACGCGCAAGGTTACCTATTATCATCAACCTGCAATTGAGGGACACATGCCTAATAACGGATTCAGGAATATCATTGAGGAGGTGGAGGATAAACAGGAGCATCAGGCAGTAATCGTCACGATTCTGCTTGCAAAATGGCCGCTATTATGCAACTTGACGTACCATCGACGAAGTCTTCTGGACGAATGTCCAGCGTGTGGAGGATTATCGAGAATAATAATCGGATTGTCAAGTATAGCTTGTAAGCCTAAACGGGGCAGACGACGCGCAAATACATCGTTACCGCGTGCGCCACCGCACACTTACGTAAGCACGTATTTGACACGTCCTTGCATTGGCGCGCGGCATGATGAGAGCCAGCCAAGAAGATGAGCAATGAGACTTTTTTTTGTAAATGAAAGAAAAGGCCCCTGTTGGTCGGTTTGCATTGACATTATCCGTTTTACGTATTCGTTACATAATGGGGGCAAAAGGTCGAGGTAACGATAAAATAAGAGCCGTTGATTAACATGTGAGGAAACATGGTAAGTATAGCAGAAACAGAGACAAGTCAAAACGCTAGAAAAGATGCTCCGACCGGGAATATTATGAGTGCTGGAGTATTGAGAGAAAGAGAGGGATGTATACATTAGGAGCACGAAGGTAATAAACTCACCGCCTGGTAGGGCGTCAGCTGCAGCTATGGTCCTGCCCTGGACGAGACCTTGGGGCTTCTCCTGCTGGCTTAGTTGTTGATGGGGTCCCGAAAACGGGGTCGACTTGGACGCCTCCTTCAGCGCCGAAAACATCCTGCTTGCTAACTTGTCTCGCTCTCTTAGATGATAACCACTTGTCTGTGCTTGCACCACCGCCGAAAAGGGGTCGGAGGTCGGAGGGGATGTTACGGGTATTTAAGTATCTGTGTACAGGAAAACAGAAAAAACACGGAGCTTTTATTTACAATTTCAAGTTATCTACTTTAACTTTGACACTTGACGCACACTTGATCAAGTTAAAAAAATTTTTATACACTTGTATAGCAAGTATTTAAATCGTTAGCAGCCGTTAAAAAGTGCTAACCTCTGCTTACCGTGACGGATAGAAGGAAAGTGGTAGACTCCTTTTTGCAGCTGCCGTGAATGTGCGATGATCTTGGCTGCTCCGTTCGGCGGGGGTTTGAGTTTGGGAGAGAGAGTTGCGTGCGCTGCGCGTAGCGTATATACCTACACAGTACACACATAAAACTTGGTGTCACAATGTTCACAAATTCTGCAATTGTATACCTACATAGCTCAGCGCCTTGTAGTACTTTTGCAATTATATATACTTATAAACTTATTAATATTTTAACCACTACTTACAAGGTAAGAAAATATAACATTAGATCCTCTCAAAGTTTCATGGCTTTATACAATGACTGTGCTCTTTTAATTAAAAAAAAAAAAAAAATTTCCTACTTTTGGCGTTTTTCTTGAATATTTTGGACATTTTGTCAGAAATGACTAACTTACGAAAAAAGTGAAAATTTTGAAGTCACATATGCACATTCGAAAATACTTATCTAACTTATTATCGGCATAATATGTAATTTCAAAATATTTTAGATTTTCGTAAGTTGGTCATTTCATAGAATACCTGACAAATCGCATTATAGAATAAGATAATTTTGTTTTATGACATGGTTATAAATTAATTTAGAATTTTCACTTTGGCACGTATTTTCACTTCAGGATATAATGAAAACTTACTTCAGTTGAAATAAATTTTTTAAATTTAAAATCTCGGTTGAATATAAGCTGTTGGTACTTTATTAGTACTTTTTTAAAAAACATTTTACATTTTGCAGGGTACGTGTTGAAAATCAAAAGATTCAAAAGGTCGATCACCGTCCTTTCGGTAGTACAGTGGAGGCCGTTTAATTCGTTGAGCGGGAAGTATAAAATTGACTAATGAAAGAAGTTATGTGACCGAATCAGCCAATGGGAATTAAATGTTTGAATTTCCTGCTCAACGAATTAAACGGCCTCCACTGGGGTCTGATCGGAGTATTCGATATCTCGCTTAAGTAAGTATTTCTTTCGATAATCCCTATAAAATAACCAAAAATATTAAAATAACGATAATGCGCATGCGTAGTTTAGGGATATCGAAAAAAACTGCTTACTTAAGCGAGATATCGGTAACATAAAATCGAGATATATCGCAACTGAAACAATTGCGAATGTGGAAATGTGGATGACAAAAAAGAAAAGAAAAAGAGTGTGGGTTTCTGCGTTTCTGGTGTGTGTCGGTGTGTGTCGGCATTGTCGGCAACGACCGACGACGACACGACAACGACACGCGTCAGTAGCAGAGAGTACGTTATTATAAATACTAAACGGAGAACGTATCAAATAAGAATTATTATCCGTCAAAAAGTAAGGGTGACAATTTTCCGAAATCTGGGGCGGATCGTAGCGTCCCCACGCACCGACTGTTCTGCGTAAGTACACAAAATGTATTATTTTATATACAATCGTGATATGCCATTTGCCGTACTGTCGCTGTATAGTAGTGTGTGCATGTATAACATAACCATCAGTTTTTTAGATATAATTAATTGTAAACATCAACTCACGTACGTTTCAATATGTTATCGGATTTGTAAATCATATTCATCACCCCCTCCTTGACTGTCGTTCAACTGTTAAGTATTTTAAATAATTAATACAAAGATAAGATTCAAAAATTTTGAGCTTATGTATAATGAGTCCGAATACCGGGACAGTTGTACTTGAGACTTATTAGAGTGCGTGCTTGTGTAGTGAAAATATCAACTCAACTCTACCATCTACTTATAATTGTAGGTAATAATAATAATCATAAGTATATTGTAAGTATCGGTAAAAAAAAAATTAAACGTGATGTTTTTGAGCTTTGAATTTTGTGGTAGTTAAGTTTCCTCGACTCGTATTAAACATTCTTTGCTTCCCGCAGTTTAATTCTTATTTCTCATTATCATAACAGTAAGTAATACTTCATAAATTAAACATGATTTTGCTTTATTCACATTTCACACATCTCGACTCGATATCTTTCATTTCTCTTTCTCCTCAAGTGTATTACATACATATCTCTGTGATCTGATGGACCCATGGCTTGATGGCTCCGATATATATACCTATATGATGCATCAGCTATAGAGTCGAATTTCTGCTTTCTTTTTTCTCTTCCGCGCAGAGTTCTGTGTCTGCTGCCGTGTTCTGCAGCAGCGCTGTATACTTAGTATATATTCAGACGCTTGCGTGTGCTTCCTTAGTTTAGGGCAACGGGCAAAAGAAACGGAGCGAAATCATCAGTGTACCTTACACAAGGGATTACTTATAGCTTTCTCAACAGGAACGATAAACTCTAATGGGGAGCATTGTAGCAACAGCCGAGGAAATTTAGTGTTAGTATTTCTTACGTATAAGTATTTAAAAAGTCTTTACTTTATTAACTCATTTCTCATGGTTGCACGGTATACCGTAAGAAAAGGGCACCATGCAGAAAAGACGCCGGCTCCTACACACACGAGACGCCTCTGTATTTTGGAGTTTTCGGAGTCGAAATCGTACATAAACATAACATTAGTTTCTTTCATTTTTCCGTTTATCTTGAACTATGCTTATAACTGTTAGCTTCTACCGTTTCTTTTATTTTATCCGCCGTCTTTTTTTTTTTTTTTTTTTTACACGTGATGGTATTAATTTCCGCCAAAGCCGCCGAGGAATGCTGTTACCATCCCTCCAATGTGTGGTGTAGACCTGTATTAGAACGACTAAACTACTATGCCTACCTACCAGTATCATCTACAATTTACCATATATGCCATACACGTGCTTATCTGATTATTCATGTGCAGATACAATCATTTTCTTAAAGCCTGACCGAAAGTTAGCCTAACTAGAGAGACGTTATTTTTTTTTTACTATCGATATGACCGCGAGCATTGTTTTATTAACTACACACAATATCAAAGTACCTGCAAGCTTATTACATTTTTCCATGTTGTAAACAAAATACTTACGTACATATTATTTTCATTTTAGAAATGTCTGAATCAGACCTGCTGAGCAGCGAACAAATCGACGGTTTGGATGTTCTAGAGAATGGTCAAGAGGTTGACACAATCATGCAGTGTGACAGTGTAAAACGTGATTTTAATGAAGCCAACATTGATGACCCTGTAAGAAATTCTTCATATTTACCACTTGAATAAATTGGATTGCCTGTATTAATAAAATTTAATTTTCACAGGAACTTGAAGCTATTAAAGCTCGAGTCAGAGAAATGGAAGAGGAGGCTGAAAAACTCAAACAGCTTCAGTCCGAAGTTGACAAGCAAATGAACATGGGTAGTCCTCCTGGAATCAGTAAGTTGCAACGATAATTAATTTATTAAGGTTATTTCTTTTAACAAATTCATTTTTTTTGCAGCTAGCCCATTAAATATGTCAATTGAAGATAAAATGGAAGTAGATAATAGATCTATTTACGTTGGCAATGTTAGTAACTTATATCTTTGGATCTGTAATTTATACTTCAATGATAACTATTGCTGTAAATTATGAAAATTTGTATATAGGTTGACTATGGTGCTACTGCAGAAGAATTAGAACAACATTTTCATGGTTGTGGCAGTATTAATCGAGTAACCATTTTATGTAACAAATTTGACGGACATCCCAAAGGGTTTGCATACATTGAATTTGCAGACCGAGATTCTGTTCAAACAGCTATGGCTATGGATGATTCTATGTTCAGAGGACGTCAAATAAAAGTTATGCCAAAAAGAACAAATAGACCGGGAATGTCTATGACGAACAGGTTAGCATCACAATACTTTTTTGAACATAATTTATTGTGCTTAGGTATATTACCATAAAAATTATTTTAATATGTTTAAAGAGGACCAAGAGGAGTTAGAGGGTACAGAGGAACGACTCGTGGAATTAGTAGGGGAAGCGCTTACTTTGGTTATAGACCAACCAGGCGTCCAAGGTAATAAACCGTTTTTCAATGATGCTTGTCGTAACTCATTGAAAATTTTTTATAAAACATTCGACAATGTTTTGTGAACAATTATTTTCTAATTAGGAGTTACAGGCGCGGATACTACATGCCATATTGACTTGTTAGGCATTCTTCGATTTTTATAATTCTGAGGTAAGTTTCTCATAATTTTTTTATCATTCTTTGTAATATTATCTACTAACTCTATATTAAGATGACTACTATTTCACCAGTGATTGTTCATTAATATTTTCTTCGTTGATCACTAACATAAAACTTTATATTAAATCTTTTCATGTATATGTACATACGTGTGTGTGTGTGTGTGTGTAAATAAATTTTTAATAAAGGAACCTAATTTTTCTACATAAATAATACAATGTTGTACTATGCTTCCAAATATAAATAGGTTGTTTGCAATGACAGTTAATAATTTTTATAAAATTTATTAGTGTTGAATTACAAATTTATTTTGCTTCTTATGATATGTCCACAGAAAAAAAAAAGACGATGGAAAAAAAGAGAAAGAAAAAAAAACTTCATGTGAAAAGAAAAAAAATGATTGGACTATGATGGGCACAAATTTTCAATAATTGATGATTTTTGAAAGAAAAAAAAAGAACCACAAGCAGTGCAGAAAAAAAGAAAAGAAAAGAAAAGAAAAAAAAATGAAAAGAAAACTTAAATCCACCGCCAGTGGGACATTGTAGTTCAAATGTATTAAATTTTTTTCTAACCTATTATGTTCTTTACTATTTTCATCATTCAATGTACAGACATCTTATCTTAACTGCGAAAATATTTGCATTAATAAAAAAAATAAGTTTGAAAAACGCCGAATATATACCCTTATGCAGTCAACAAGTGCATTTAATTTATAGTAGGTATATTTATTTGTTAGTATAAGTGTCTGTTCACTTTTTTACTTTTTCAAAAATCGGAAGGTATGCGTTTGCTACTTGTTTTTGAATAAATTATTAAAAAATGTAACTGATGGCTAATTTTACTTTTTTTTAAATAAATTTTTCAAAAAAAGGTTAAGATTGTTTTCACTATATATTTGTATGACGAGTTTGTTCTAATTAAAATTTAAACTTATACAATGACACAATTCTTGTACTAATTTTCCAAATATTTGATGATTGTCTTGCTTTTTTTAATTGCGCTTTAGAATTTCGTATTTTTTTTCAAATAAGATAAAAATTAGTCGAGTGAATTTATAAGAAAACAATTGCCAAGCATGTATAAAAATTAACACAATACATGGATCGACTGTACTTTATAGAAGCCGTTTTTTTATAATGCACTAAGTTATATTAAAATACTTTTAAACATTAATCAGTTCACATGTATTTACAAAAATAAGGATTTCAACTAATGTACAATGGAAAAAAAAAAAAAAAAAAAAAAACATTGTTTATTTCATTTGGATAAAATGTCTGTATACAAATATTTTCAGGAGTAATAATTTGGGTTATTGGGTAATGACATACAATCCTATCTCATATAAAATAATTAGATTAGTGTTTAGTGGTATTCCATATTTAAAAATATTTTGTATTGTCCTACTAGTACCGCAATGGAGGTGCGTGTAAGCTACATGAAAGCTTATGTATTATAAAAATCATAAGAAATTACTATTGCATGCTTTTTAATCTTGTACTGTAAAAATCGGTATCCGAAACCGCTTATAACGTGGGGCGGCGTGATGAGTGCGTGGCACACTTTTAAACGTATCTCTCTTACTCTCATACGTTTAAACGCACAACTGATTACGACCACGGAAAATTGATTTAATCAATCAGAATAAGGCTTTAACTGCCAAAAATTGGTATAGATGCCGATTTATATTATTTAAAATTCAATTCGTGATTATTGATTCAAAAGGAGACCATGTACAAAAAAGTGGCATTTCTTTTCATTAATTTGTTTCTTTGACGCAAAATCGATTGAGCCTAAGAAATAATCGATGGCTTGCAAAAAAATAATTCTAGATGCCAAGTTCTTGGACCTGCGATCGAAGCTTTAGTTCCACGATACCAAGAATTAATCAGCATCTCTTTATGTCACCTTACGTATGATGGAATTTTTAATTTTAATAGCCCACTAAAGGAGTGCCAGCAAATTTATAAATAAAATTGAAGGTAAGTTTTGGATGAGGAACTTTATTTTAAATTATTACATTACATCTTTGAAAAAGAATTTTCGTTTCAATTAATGTTCGTTGACAAAATTATTTACAAAATTTGAATTAATTATCTTTGACAAATCTACTTATTTCTGTATATTACAATTGCAGACTAAGTAATTAAAAGACAACTATTACAAGGTAATAATAATTTTCAATGATACTTCAATCGTCTTCTTTATTATGCACGAAAAAATTATTTTCTTAATTTACTAAAATATACAATATACATACGCACATACAATTAAATATTTTACTGGATAGAAATGTATTGATAATTAATTGGCCAAGAAATTCAATGAATTCTGTTTACAAGTGATTATAGACGTATAGATGGTCAATAAACTTGATATTTTTTACTTTTAATATCAACAGGAAGGGCGCTCATGTTTAGTGAGACAAGACCAAGGGGCACTAAACCTATGGCATGAGATTATTTCAAATTTGTCAGTACTTTGTAAATTGACGCTGGTTTCCAACTGATTTGCTGCATCCTTCTCGAAAAATATCAACGACACAGATGGCTGAAGAAACGAGTCCTGGGTTAACTCTAACAAATCTCGTGTATTTTAAATTTGTGTACTCTTCCGGTTCAAGGTTACTGTTGATTCTTTTTTTCATCTTTCTCTTTGCTTTTTTTACATCTCTGATAGTCTTTTACATATACTTCCTTCTTAACATTTGCCGATTTTCCAACAGCACTTTGGTGGGTCCATGGCTTGAAAAGAATACTTTGATGTCGTTACAACAAATCTTCCATGTTAAGGAATACTCATATACTTTGCAGTGACTGAGATCAAAAAAGTGAACCAATAATGTTCTCCAGTTCAGGAGGAAATCGCTATTTTGTCTTTGATATCGATTTAAACCGATGGATTTCTTTTTTTTTTTCCAATCAAGTTTTTGCCATGGTAAAACTGATAAGTAGTCTGATTCCTTACCTATTATACTTGATAACAGCAATTCGACTCTTGTGATATACGTATGCATATCCACATATACATAGGCACACCGGTAGACTGATTGTCGAGAGCGATAATACAAATATTTCTGAGATTATTTTTAGAAAATAATTTTACAAAATGTTAGTAGCAATATATTAAACACATACTTGATGAACCGTAGTATACAAAGTTCAAATTCATAATTTGTAATAGAAAAACTTGTCAAATAACAATTTTTTTCTGTTACAGTAAATCTATGGTCAGCTGAGGGATCAAATGTGCTTAAACGGGAAAGCACTCATACCGAGTATTGTATTGTGATCAAAAAGCGGAAACTCGACACTGAAAGAAACACTGTCGAAAATATCGAGTTGAGATCAGAAGGTATGTATTAGGAGGCCACCCATCCCTTTCCTAAGTGTTCAATGCCTTGAGTAGTGTGGGCTCTACTGTACCCTGACCCTGACATATGACACTACATTATAAAAATATTTATAAATACAAATATTTTTAAAATTATTTTTAGAAAATAATTTTACAAAATGTTAGTAGCAATATATTAAACACATACTTGATGAACCGTAGTATACAAAGTTCAAATTCATAATTTGTAATAGAAAAACTTGTCAAATAACAATTTTTTTCTGTTACAGTAAATCCATGGTCAGCTGAGGGATCAAATGTGCTTAAACGGAAAAGCACTGATACCGAGTATTGTATTGTGATCAAAAAGCGGAAACTCGACACTAAAAGAAACACTGTCGAAAATATCAAGTTGAGATCAGAAGGTATGTATTAGGAGGCCACCCATCCCTTTCCTAAGTGTTCAATGCCTTGAGTAGTGTGGGCTCTACTGTACCCTGACCCTGACATATGACACTACATTATAAAAATATTTATAAATACAAATATTTTTAAAATTATTTTTAGAAAATAATTTTACAAAATGTTAGTAGCAATATATTAAACACATACTTGATGAACCGTAGTATACAAAGTTCAAATTCATAATTTGTAATAGAAAAACTTGTCAAATAACAATTTTTTTCTGTTACAGTAAATCCATGGTCAGCTGAGGGATCAAATGTGCTTAAACGGAAAAGCACTGATACCGAGTATTGTATTGTGATCAAAAAGCGGAAACTCGACACTAAAAGAAACACTGTCGAAAATATCAAGTTGAGATCAGAAGGTATGTATTAGGAGGCCACCCATCCCTTTCCTAAGTGTTCAATGCCTTGAGTAGTGTGGGCTCTACTGTACCCTGACCCTGACATATGACACTACATTATAAAAATATTTATAAATACAAATATTTTTAAAATTATTTTTAGAAAATAATTTTACAAAATGTTAGTAGCAATATATTAAACACATACTTGATGAACCGTAGTATACAAAGTTCAAATTCATAATTTGTAATAGAAAAACTTGTCAAATAACAATTTTTTTCTGTTACAGTAAATCCATGGTCAGCTGAGGGATCAAATGTGCTTAAACGGAAAAGCACTGATACCGAGTATTGTATTGTGATCAAAAAGCGGAAACTCGACACTAAAAGAAACACTGTCGAAAATATCAAGTTGAGATCAGAAGGTATGTATTAGGAGGCCACCCATCCCTTTCCTAAGTGTTCAATGCCTTGAGTAGTGTGGGCTCTACTGTACCCTGACCCTGACATATGACACTACATTATAAAAATATTTATAAATACAAATATTTTTAAAATTATTTTTAGAAAATAATTTTACAAAATGTTAGTAGCAATATATTAAACACATACTTGATGAACCGTAGTATACAAAGTTCAAATTCATAATTTGTAATAGAAAAACTTGTCAAATAACAATTTTTTTCTGTTACAGTAAATCCATGGTCAGCTGAGGGATCAAATGTGCTTAAACGGAAAAGCACTGATACCGAGTATTGTATTGTGATCAAAAAGCGGAAACTCGACACTAAAAGAAACACTGTCGAAAATATCAAGTTGAGATCAGAAGGTATGTATTAGGAGGCCACCCATCCCTTTCCTAAGTGTTCAATGCCTTGAGTAGTGTGGGCTCTACTGTACCCTGACCCTGACATATGACACTACATTATAAAAATATTTATAAATACAAATATTTTTAAAATTATTTTTAGAAAATAATTTTACAAAATGTTAGTAGCAATATATTAAACACATACTTGATGAACCGTAGTATACAAAGTTCAAATTCATAATTTGTAATAGAAAAACTTGTCAAATAACAATTTTTTTCTGTTACAGTAAATCCATGGTCAGCTGAGGGATCAAATGTGCTTAAACGGAAAAGCACTGATACCGAGTATTGTATTGTGATCAAAAAGCGGAAACTCGACACTAAAAGAAACACTGTCGAAAATATCAAGTTGAGATCAGAAGGTATGTATTAGGAGGCCACCCATCCCTTTCCTAAGTGTTCAATGCCTTGAGTAGTGTGGGCTCTACTGTACCCTGACCCTGACATATGACACTACATTATAAAAATATTTATAAATACAAATATTTTTAAAATTATTTTTAGAAAATAATTTTACAAAATGTTAGTAGCAATATATTAAACACATACTTGATGAACCGTAGTATACAAAGTTCAAATTCATAATTTGTAATAGAAAAACTTGTCAAATAACAATNCTTCTAATAAAAATATAAAACTGTCTAAAGTATCTTAAATCTCAACAAGTTTTTCCCCACTCTTTGGAAAAATAATGCCTTTGGACTCTAAGTCAGCTCTGGCTTCTTTAATTTCCTAAAAAAATAATTTTAAGTAAAATTTTGATGCTAATGCATGTACGAATCATGCATTAACAATGCCAACGTGTAAGTACTTACGTTTTGAAGTTCAATAGCAGCTTCTTCGCAATTATTAAACGTTAACACTCGGTACGTAACAACTGTAAATGCATAGAGACCAAACAAAAATATGAAGATTATTGGGAAGTAATTAATATACCATTCGACCTTGGGAGAAAAGTTCGATCTGTTTAAAAGTAAAGATATCCATGCAACAAACATTGCAATCGCAACTGTCAGCCATTCCATAAACTTTGTCATTTCTGAAATAATATTTTTTAAAAGATGCTTACGTGTCACTGTGTTTGTTCAATATGTATTTTACTTTAATAACAAAAACTCCTACTTACTTGGTTTTAAAAAAGCGTATTTATGTTATATTTTTATGTACTTATAAACACATTACTTTAGGTTTTTACGTTCAAAAGACTTTAGCAAAATAAAGACAGTCAAGTTTACGTTGTATTTTAGGTTAATTGTTCGGACCGCGTGTAAACTTTAAGGTTGCATTTACAACAAAAGGCTCTACTATTGTGGTGGAAATGCTCTTACGATGCGATGTCTAATCGGTCCGATACATGTGTTGTATATTATAACCTTCAAGTTTTGACACATGCGACGAATGTACCGCAAGTGATTTTATTTTTTTTTAATATTTTGTAAAATTCTTTAAAATGGTTCGAAAGTTAAAATATCATGAACAAAAATTGTTAAAGAAAGTTGATTTCATTTCCTGGTCAGCGGATAATAATTTACACGAGGTCAAAGTTTTAAAACGATATCATGTTCAGAAGAGAGAAGATTACACTACGTAAGTGAAAAGTAGCATTTTTTATTATTAAATACCGAAGTAAGTATTGATGAAAATTTAAAGCAGACGTTACAATAATTTTATATTTATATTCAGGTACAATAAACTATCAAGGGAAATTCGAGAGCTCGGAATTAAAATAAAAGAATTAGACAATGACAGTCCATTTAGGGTTGAACAAAGTGCCGCATTATTGGAAAAATTATACATGTTGGGGTTGATTCCGACAAAGTGGGATTTGTCACTATGTCAAAAAGTAACAGCCAGTTCATTCTGCAGAAGAAGGTTGCCTGTTATCATGGTACGATGCAAAATGAGTGAAAACATTAAAATGGCAACACAGTTAATAGAGCAGGGTCATGTTCGAGTAGGACCTGAAGTAATCAAAGATCCAGCATTTCTAGTGACAAGGTAATACGTTCATTTTGTTAAATAACCTGAGAAAAAAATTTAATTGCAATACGCTTAGCATGAAGTTAATGATGTTTATTTTTGCAGGAACTTGGAAGATTTTGTTACTTGGACTGATACCTCAGCTANTAAGGGTGAGATTACATGGAGTCTGGCAGTCTGCAGACTGGCAGAATCGCGCTAAGTTTAAATTATGTTTAAATTATAACATCTCAGAATAATTTAGTAAAATAAAAAAAAAATTGTAATTATTGTCATAACAGAATAAAGGCTTAGTTACAATCAATTTCATTTACAATAAAACGTGTCAAATATTATTTTATAACTTTTTTTATAGATTTATGTGAACATCGCACAGTCGGTCAGTAGGGTCACTGATGTAACCTGATATGTATAACAATATGTAACTGTGACAAAACGTTTTTCGTTGCCTTTTTTTTCATAAATATTAGTTAATACAGAAATGCAAATGTACTACGATAATTATTTCTTTACTTACGTAATAGGTTTTAAATATTAATATTGAAACATATTTTTAAACTTAGCGCGATTCTGCCAGTCTGCAGACTGCCAGATTCCATGTAATCTCACCCTTACAATTTGCAGGCATAAAAAAAGGCCATATTCACACACAACTAATATAACCGGGTAACCGAGTAACTTCTATATCTACTCTCATGGAATATCACTAATATGTGTCCCACCAGGAATGAGTACTTTAATACAGGTAACGCGTAAGTACCTATACTTGAAGCTGCAAAACAAAAAGGGCCAATTTAAACTATTGCATGAAAATTAATATAATGCAATGACGCAATGAGTGAAAAAATAATAATTGATTCAGATACTGTTTTTTAGTATCATGATTTGTCTAAATGTATATTTTCATCTTTTACCAAGTTGTTTTCGATTGGTTTTTTTTTTCATATTTATATTTAAGTATCGCAGGTGCATTTATTGTAATTTTATGCTACTAAAAGATAACATGTTGACTACATAATTCCTTGAAATATATCTTTTGTACTGCTTATAGCCTATAACATCTGCTCGAAAACATGAAAAAACTATATATATGCAAGCATTAATCACACTATTGAATTTTGTCATCCTGCTCGGCCAAAGTTCACCCTAGTGGTCAAAAAAGGCCGATGCGGAACAACTTATTCAAGCCGGTGAGTGCGCATGAGTGCAAATTAGAGGAAGAGGGAAGAGCTAATTAAGAATTTTATTACCAATCACACATTCACACGACGCTTTTAAGGCTGCAGGGGTTTCTCTGATTGGTCAAAACTCCGATTTAGTTATTTCTCTGATAATAGCTAACGAGCAGTTAGTGAATTACGAGCTGCCACATTTTAGGCGTGCATGTCATTGGTGATGGAAACGAGACAAATATATATTAGGCGGCACAAGTCTCCCGTTTTCCCGTCAACGGGTCTCTCTCCGGCACTCTCCGCCGTGTTCACCTTCAGCACAGTCGAGGCACTCGAGGCTACGCGGCTACAGTACATAGGTAACATACATTGCAGTTTTGGCTCTTTGACGTATATGTATTGTAACTTACATCCAAAAGTGCTGGTGCTTGGTGTATCCCATCAATCCCATCTTTTATATATAGGTATATACCTACATTACCCATTTTTATCCCGTTGAGCGTGCAATACAGGCTTTCGTAGTGTTAGTAAGTAGTTGAGACAACTGTGCATGGGCAAGTGTGCAACGTGCTCAAGTCTGACCGTGAGCAGCGTGAGCGCATTTTGAGCGCGAAAGTGCTATACTTACTTAAATACTATCCAAGTTCCGGTGTCTAAAAGGCAACACTCACGAAGTGCAGTCTGTATCTATATTGTGTTGAGTAGTTAGTGTTCTTGTCGCACGGTTGATTGTAAGTTTTATCCATTTGATTCGCGCACCGAAATAATATATACTTACGTGGTGCTCTCTCTGTGCTGGATATATGCTTACTTTTTTACTTCGGTTCGAAAGTTTTTAAAACGCCTGTGACAAGGCCAAGATAGTGAGACAAAAGTAACGGAGCTCTTAGCGCGTGGCAGCAACAACAGCAACATTGTATTAATTATACAATCGTGCAATTGCGGCTCCCGGGGAGGAGCCCAAGAGGAGAAAAAGGAAAGAAGAACCAACGAGTAAGCTCGATTAGCGTTGCCATCGGAGAACCGGACTAAGTTAATTCAGGTCACAGATACAGGTTTCGGTCAGTATCATATACCTATAAGTAATACTTAACACTTGAGAAAATGTTCCCGCGCGGGCGACTAAATTTATCATATAGAGTATTGTAAGTAGGCGGATTGCCTTCAGGTCGGGCCTGATCTTTGTCTCTGGAGACGAGCCAACGAGGGAAGCTAAAGCCGGAGCGGGAATTGGGTTTTACAACCTCACGACGGGCGTCAACGCGCACTCTCGCCTAGTGTGAACGTCCAACATGCTTAGGGTGGCTCAAACACTTCTTCGTCGAGCCGCAACGCTGGCTTCAACATCGCAACGTTCTGTATTAGGTGAGTCTTACATTCCTTTTACACCCAAGTAATAAGTATACACACACTATCATTTATGAAGCTTAAAACTTCATTTTTTATTTTTCCCACTTATGCATGTGTGTGTACATTATATATATATATANAATAATTATGATAATGATAATAAAGATAATAATGACAATAATAATAACAATAATAATAATAATAATAATAATAAGTAAAGGAGAAAAAATCATTCCTAAAAGCATGATCAGTCTTAGAATACACTTGAACGCAACATACATTGTGCACTAAATGTATGAGTAGGAATTTCCGAGTTTGCGATGGTTAACATGACAATAACCAAGTTCTGATCAATATTTCCATTATAAATATATTTAATAGCAATGAATGGTCAAACATCAATTGTGTACTAAGATTAATATACAAGAAGCTAAATCCAAGTAAAATGAGAAACTTGGCACTTTCAGCGATTATTAGTAAATATATATATATTTTTTATATTAGAGTGCTCTACGTCCGGCTCCTTTAATAAGGGCACTACTATGGGAGTATGGGCACTTAGCACTTGGGAGAAGGAAGGGAAGAGGGATAGGAGGCCTCCCATCACTGGGAGGGGGGTAGGGGGAAATTAGGCAATTTTGCTGCGAGAAGGTCGCCTAAACCCTCCTCGAGGAGCATTGCGTGGTGAAAAAGCACATGTGAAAAATCACAGAGGTACTTGCCCGAAAAAGTCGCACT